TACCGTTTTCTTGTAATTTGCTTCCAAAGTTGAAAAAACTTTTTTTAAGTATCGAAAAATGACACTCCTTACGTTTTATCGAATATCTCAAAAACTATAGCCACCAAAACTAATATAGGATATGCGTTGGAAAGCTGAAATGTCAGACTTTAATACGATAATAATAGATTTATTGTAGCACTTACCGTTTTCTTGTAATTTGCTTCCAAAGTTGAAAAAACTTTTTTTAAACATCGAAAAATGACACTCCTTACGTAATAGCAAATATCTCGAAAACTATAGCCATCAAAACTAATATAGGATATGCGTTGGAAAGCTGAAATGTCAGGCTTTAATATGATTATAATAGATTTATTGTATCACTTACCGTTTTCTTGTAATTTGCTTCCAAAGTTGCAAAAACTTTTTTAAGCATCGAAAAATGACACTTCTTACGTTTTAGCAAATATCTTGAAAACTATAACCACCAAGACTAATGTAGAATATGCGTTGGAAAGCTGAAATGTCAGGCTTTAATATGATTATAATACATTTATTGTATCACTTACCGTTTTCTTGTAATTTGCTTCCAAAGTTGCAAAAACTTTTTTAAGCATCGAAAAATGACACTTCTTACGTTTTAGCAAATATCTTGAAAACTATAGCCACCAAGACTAATGTAGGATATGCGTTGGAAAGCTGAAATGTCAGGCTTTAATATGATTATAATAGATTTATTGTATCAGTTACCGTTTTCCTGTAATTTGCTTCCAAAGTTGAAAAAACTTTTTTTAAGCATCGAAAAAGTACACTCTTTACGTTTTAGCGAATATCTAGAAAACTATAGCAACCAATGCAAATATAGAAGATGCGTTGGAAAGCTGAAATGTCAGGCTTTAATGCGATAATAATAGATTTATTGTAGCACTTACCGTTTTCCTGTAATTTGCTTCCAAAGTTGAAAAAACTTTTTTTAAACATCGAAAAATGACACTCCTTACGTTTTAGCTAATATCTCGAAAACTATAGCCACCAAGACTAATATAGAATATGCGTTGGAAAACTGAAATGTCAGGCTTTAATATGATTATAATAGATTTATTGTATCACTTACCGTTTTCTTGTAATTTGCTTCCAAAGTTGAAAAAACTTTTTTTAAACATCGACCTTACACCTTACGTTTTAGCGAATATCTAGAAAACTATAGACTTATATTATATAGCTTCAATTAGCAACTTAAAATCTATTTACAGTTTACTATAAAATTTTGACATGCAAGTCTGGTTGCCTACGTTAACATTTTCGAAAAATATCAAAATAAACAATTGATTAATGTTGAAATTTAGCAGTTCGTTGAAATGATATTCGATAAACGGATAAAGCAAAGAGTCAGCTGTGTCTATTTAATGTAAAGTAAATCCTCTACAAATCGGAATTAATCTAATTTGAATTTTTTGTTTCTGTGGAAAGACGCGCACACTTCGCTGTCAAACGGACGACTGACGCACCTGACGCTGACATTCCTAATCGCTCGACCAATCAGAGCGCGCCCCGCGAATTATCAAATATTTGAAATTCAAATATAAAAAGTATTTTAAATAATAATAATTAACGCGTACCAACGTAATTTCATTAAATTCCCCTATTACGTAACATAATTTAAAACTTTTTTGTTACAGATAAATTAGATGAAGTCACGTCGACGAGTTTACCGACTTTAGGTGTTGAGGAAGGAACGGAAATTGGTATTCTAGTCATAATAATAGCGGCCGCCCTCGTTACAATTACGCTGCTCTTCCTCATCGCAATCTTCATCGATTGCAGACAACAGTGAGTTTTGTTTGATCTCGTGTTGTATTTGTTGTACAATTGGTAACATTTGTTTCTGTTGCAGAAAGACGATAAATGTTGAAGCGACGAGCGACAGCGGGAGGATATTCAGAATGAAACTGCCAAAGATCAGCAGGAAACTGCGCGAAGATGAGAAACAGTTCTCGAATCGAATGCAAATACCGGATGGGACGGATCCAGCAAACATCGTTTGAAACTTATTCCAAACCAATTCAATCGAATCCAATCTATTCCCATTTTTTACTTTTACTTTATTTATTTCCTATTCAATTTTATTCAAAGTATTATTAATTTTATACATATACATACATATATATATATATTATCGCCGTTGCCAAAGTAACCACAATCTTGTTTAGTTTTATTGTATTTTAAAGATGTACTCGAAATGTTGATCGTGTTTTGTTTTTATTGTATTGTATATTATTATTAATATACAGAAAGTAAGATGAAGAAGAAGTTGAAGAAGAAGTTGTGATCTCCTATTAAAAACTATATAACTATATATTTTTATTCATATAAAAAAAAATAATGATAATATACATGGTCTATACAAACTAAGGTTTTTAGTAGCAATAATTTTGGTTCTATCTCGTATATATATACATACTTCAAATTGAAACGTGTTAAAAAGTTGGGAAAGGGGATTTAGGGGATGGGGGGGAGACGAGAAATTCGAATAATAAATTAAGTTAAAAACGTAAAAAAGAAAGGCGGCGGCGACGACGACGTATACTTTTTGTTTGGTTAAAGTGGGTTGTCGTCCGCTCCAATCGTCTCCTCGATCCAATCGATGTTGGATGAGATCTTATCGTACATCCTCGGTCTGCCCACCGCTCCCTTGCTATTCGTGCACGCTATCCTCCAATTGGTGATGCCGACCAATGACCAGCGCACTCCGTCCGGCAACATGCAGAGCATTGAAGTCCCCGCGAATTCCTCCTCCTAACGAAAACAAAACAAACATTTCAATCGATCGTCGTCAAGCCTTTACATTTGAAACACTCACGTTGCAATCCTCCTGGCCGTACGCCGTCTCCGTGCACAAACTGTTCACCGTCGAGATGCTCACGTTTTCGCACCTCTCCATCTGATTCACCTTGATCTGCACTCGCTGCAGCTGATCCCTGTTCCTCGCCCATCCCAATGTATTGCAGAAGAGCACACCCTCCGTCGTCTGCTTCATCTTCTTCTCCGGAAGACAGATCGGCCGCACGAAATCCGTCATCATGAGCGGATCCTCCAACTTCACCATGGCTATCGTCGATCCCTCCACCGGCGACTTGACCATACCGACGATCCTCCTCTCCTGTTGCCACGGCGACGAACTGGACAGACGCACGGTGCCGGCGCGCACCAGCCATTCGGCTTTCGGTTGCCCCTGGAAACACGAGACGGACGTTATCACCCATGATGGGTTGATCAGCGTTCCGTCGCAGATGTGGACGTCCTCCTTGAAGAGTGCAACGTGCCAAGGCCAATCTCCGTGGACGGACATCTTAGAGAGGACCGGATCGCTCGAGCTAGAGTGCGTGATCTGCGTACCGCATTCTGAAGAGAAAAAAAAACCCATAAAACATAAAAATATTATCAAAACAAGAATCGTTCATCATTACCTAAATCGCCGCACTCGACTTTAAGCACGTCCTTAGATTTGCATTGAGTTCGAACGAACGAAATCTCATTAGCCAAAGGATCTTTCATGCTCACGTACGCCTCCGTCTCCTCCACGTCCTTTACGATCGACACCGATTTCAGTTTCCTAAAATGATAATAATTGCTTTTAATTAACATTTGAAGTGGAACGCAACAGTCGGTTATTGAAGCGCACTCTGTAATCATCATTTCTCGAGTATACTAAATTGCTTCAAACGTTATTGAAAGCACAATAATTAAGTGTTAATATTTGCACTTGAATCTGATTCAATAGATATCGAAACTAATAATAGCGCTTTTACAAACGAAAGGTTGGATGATGGGTGCGGCGACGACGGCTATTGCTGCCGCATACCTTAACTTTCTTCAGCTATATTGTTGTGTAAACTTAAATCTTATCAGATAGCATCGCACAAGACTTACTCGTATGAAAGGGTTTTGCAAAGGGACGATGCGACCGTGTGCAGGATCTCGGTGGATTTATTGGCTGGCAGCGTTCTGTTCAGGTTCTCCGTGCAGAGCTTTCCCATCTCGCCCTTCTCGTTGAAGACCACAAATCCAGAGGCGTGATAGCGCGCGAGGTGCGGCGTCACGACCTTCGCTTTTGCCAGCTGCCCGACACTAGGCGATAAACTCACTGGAAATGTCACAGATTTTTGTTAGTAACATAAAGACGGATGGATTGATGTGCAAGGTGTCTTACGGCAAGCTCGTTCGTCGCTTCCATCTGGACAATCCCTCCTGCCGTCGCATCTCTTCGACTCTTTGATGCAGGCCCTACCGATGCCGCAGTGGATTTGATCCGGTGGACAGTACGCACACGTCCTTTCATCCGAGGTGTCCTGGCAATCGACAACGCCGTCGCAGATTCGAGGCGATAGTGCTTTTGTTTGCATCTCCTGTACGCAATCTAAAAATTATAATAAGTTAGAATAATTTCGCCAAGAAATATATTACGAGGAATTAATACCTGGTTTAGGTATGCAGCTCGAATCGCTTCCAAACTCCGGGAATCTGTTGCAATCCAAACCCTCCTTCAGCCTGGGCGTCAACCTACTGCCGCATCCTGTCATAAAGTCCCTGCAGTAGCTCCTGCAGGGTAGGAGCATCTCGTCCTCGCGTTTGCCCTTTCTGCAAGCGGGTTGAAGCACGTGACACACAAAGTCGTACGCCAACCTGAAGCATTCCGCGTCAACTAAATCCCTGAAGCTGATCACGTCCTCCTTCAGATCCTTGAAGCTCTCGTGTCCCAAAATATTCGGGTACGTCGTCGTGTTGTAGGTCAACTTGTTGCAATAGTTCAGCTGCAGCGGACTGCATTTTCTCGGAGGCGGCGGCGCCTGAGTCACCGCTTCAGGCACGAAGGACTTTGTGGACGGAGCGACGGTCGTCGATCGCATCTGATGATTCTCTATTACCTCCAAACTCTTGGGGTCGATGGTGATGTTGCGGAAGTAAGCAGACTCGAGGCCAATCTCTTTGGAAATCATTTGGTGAAGATCCTCTGCGTCCACAGACGCGTACATCGGATCTATGTGCACGCTAAAGTGCACAATCAAATCTTTACCTTCCGTTCTAAAGAAAACAAACAAATTACTAAACGATTCAATTTAAAATCAAAAATCTCGTTACCCGTCTAGAGCCAAAATATCGGTGCCGGCGAAACCGTGTCTCAGGTCGCTCCTCCTAAATAATAGATTCAGTCTTTCTTTGTAGTCTCTCGACCTTACTCTAAAATGATCCGTGGACGGATCAGCCAGATCCGCCGTGAAAACGTCCCCATCGACGACTTTGAAGGCGGCCCGGAATATCTGCTCTTCCGGTGGCTGCGACAAGTAATAGGTATCTGCAAGAATAAAACAAAACGATCGAAATTTACAATCTTCATCGCTCCGTTTCGCACAATTAAAACGTTCCTTCATTGGAAACAAGTACTGCAGAATCGTTTACAATCGGATGCACACGAGATGCAAACTTAATTGCAGCAATCGGAATCGAACATTATTATACGATTGAAACGTAATAGGTATAGTTTTAGATCGGTTCATCCGTGCTCCGTTTTTTCTTTTTGTATTCATTACGAGAAAGGAGTGTCAAGGTCCCGCCGTCCGTTTAATATGCGTTTGTCATTTCGAGAAAACATTAACCTACATCGATGTTATAACTGTTAGAGCGAGCAGGTGACACGGATCGTCCGAGCTACATTACAATTGCAATCCATCGTGTAAACATCGTGGACGTGGGAGGAATGAACAAAAAAAAAATATATATAAAAAATGCATTCCTTGTGTATTATTCGATCAAATACGTGGTGCATTTTGTCTTCGCTCAAGACGTGCTTTAATAAACGAGCAATTCGGATTTAAATTGTTAAACAATTTAGTTTCAAGTAAATAAAAACGAAAAACACGAGATGAAACTAAGCAAGTGAAAGTGGCTCAACTCTATTTGCACTCATTATTTTCATTATAATCAATCAAGTTGGCCAAATCGATCAAATTCACTTACAATCAAAAACAAATGAGAGTCAATTGGACGCCGATCATTTAGAGATTCGATTGAAAAAAGAATGAGGGAAGTTGGGACTCACATCCAAAGTAGACGGCAGCGGCGGCGGCCAGCAGGAGCAGCAGGAAGCTGGCGATTATGCAGCAGCCGCACTTGCATTGCGGGCTGAGTTTCCTGCGAGTGAACCGGATGTCCGAGTCCGAAGAGAGGATGGAGCTGGCCGATCGTCTGTACTGTCGCGTTCCGGTGCTCACCGTGCTAATGGACATCTGAAATCAATCAAACGAACAAAATTTAAAAATTAATTCAACGTAGAAGACACAACAAAAAAATAATATAACAATCAAAACGAACCAATTCAAATGTTTCCAATTGCCAACTTAAAATTCCCATCATTTATACCAACTTAAATTATTATTATCATTGATTTGACATGGTAATAAACCATTTTCAAATTGTTTATTGTATGTTGTTCAGTTTATCGATGGAAATGGAAATGGTTCGTCCGGGTCGTTGCACAATCACCGCCGCTCGTTCGAGTTAATTGCATTAGAAATGCAATTTAAACGGGGTCCCCTGCCGGCCATTAAAATGAGCGTCCGGATCGTTCGTTTAGAAAGTTTCGCGTGAAATTCGCAACCGAATCGATTCATTCTACTTACTAGGTAAGAACTGACGCGGAGGAACGAGATGAGAATCGGGGTATAAATCAAAGTGTACCAATTTAGAAAAAAAAACATGTAAAACAATGACGCGCGTCAAAATTTAAAATTAACCGTACCAACTTTTTAACGCTTAATATCACCATTGTCTTTCGACATAATTAAACTTATATAATTTATGAAGCGCTCGCACCACTCGCACGGATTTTCTCCATTCGATTGTTTCAATTGCTTTCGTGCGAAGTTTCAAAGCAATTAGTCTAAAATCGAGATGAGGAAACGACAATGTTCATATAGGAAATCGATTTAATTGGATGGTAATAGTAACATTTGTTTTTCTCAAGTTTCCGGTACAGCTGTTTGATGGATGGAAAATTGATTTATAAAAAACAAAACAAAACAATAACAAAATGCGAGAGTTGCATAAGTCAAGTGAAACGATTTGGAGCAGAGTTTCAAGCTCGGAAATCTCTGCTGACATTTCTCGTTGGGCGCAAAATAGGAACCGGCTCTCCTTGCGCCTTTCCGAACGGGTCACGACTGCATTTCGCACCTCTTTCTCTGCCGATTTCTTCGTGAAATGCATTTAGAGAGAAATCCGAGTGCGCTGCTGTCAAATGTGCCTAATCCGTTGCTAGGTAACTTAAGTAAACTATTGTGGGATGAGCGCGCTTCGCTTGTTATTGCAAATTGCAATTGGTAAATCGACAAAGAAAGGAAGAAAGAAACAGGACAAAACAATTTTCGCACGTGACATTCAAATAGAGTTGACTGTGTACAGAGAAGAGGTGTTCATGGTCACCACGGCACGAGTGATAGTTAATTGTTATAAAAAAATTATTTTTTTTTTGCAAATGCGACAACTTTTTCCATCGTCCATTTGCTAACTGTAATGTTATCCTTCGAACTGATTGGAAAAATCTCACATATCCACACGTAATTAGCATTCAAATAAGAAACAGTTGTGTTTAATTAACGAATTCCAGTTACGCCAACATATCGCACTTTTCTCGCACTACACTTTTACACATATTTTATTCAAATTCTACGCATATCTGCGATTCCATAAACCGTTTCAATCTCATAAACGCGCATTTCTTATTGATAAACAATATTCAAATTTGAACGTAATCGCATAACGTTAATCTGGTTGCAAACCTTTGACATTAAGATGACATTACGTAACACTTTTGTCTTGTAAACCGACAATAACCGTAACGATTATAAAAAAAACTTTCAATAAATATCACAACAAAGATTTATGCAAGAATACTCGCATTTTGCTCGCAACTGTTAATTCATAACATTGAAAATAAACCGTTTAATAAATTATTAAAAGTAATGCAACGAGAATATTCAAATTTGAACTGTCACACGTAATGCTAATCTGGTTGCAAACATTCGATATTAAGTTTTAAATCCGTAACGTAAACTTTAAATCAATATTACAGTTTAAATAAAGAATTTTAATGAGTTTGAGAAACAACGATCAAACTTTCACGTCACATATTAATATAACGTATTGCTATTATATTTATGTTTCGTCCATTTAATACTGTGCGAAACTTTCTATCACAATTCCATCTCCACATTTAATATCCGCACAATCTGCCACTAAAATAAGCGATCTCTAACGTCATTAATACATGAAAAACACTTCTTTTCTACAATTCGAAATTCAATGTTAGATTTTCTTAAACAATTTTAGATACTTTCATCAAAGTTGTTGTTATTATTGTTGTTCATCAAAGTAATGCACACTCATAAACAACAACAACAAAAAATGAATTCGAAAGTAAGTCTCCAAGGCTTCACAAACAACAGTTTGAGACTTAAATAAATCATACACAAACACACACACACACAGAGAGAAACATTCAAAGAAAACCTGATTATCTCTTCTGCATGTCGCACATTTTCTTAACGTCACAACTTACAAAACGAAACGAATTTGCATACAAAACAAACAAAACCAGCGAGAAAAAAAAACTCATTTACCTTGTTAACATTGCATTGGAATACCCGAAATAGCATTGGCTATGAGATTCGAAAACAAAAATAAACAAATTTGTTATAGCAACGTTGTCAGTTCACTTCGAGATTTACCCCATTATAACGTTGACAATTACGGATCGTAAAGGCATGTAAAGAGAAAATTAAAGCAATGCAAATTACTTTAAACGTATACTTAAAGTCAAGGTTGACTAGAGTAAATAGCTAGGATTGTTTTAAAGAGAATAATGGCGAGAAGAAACGTGAATCTTAGATTCTACATTTGAAAGTATTTCAAATTCCGAAAACGTAGCAAAAATCAATTACAATATTTGCTCTAGTTTTTTTGTTTTTTTAATTTTCTGCAACGTAACTGTTTATAATTTGTCCTTCGCGTTTCTTTTTCTCTTCAAATTACCACAAAACACGTTTCTTATAACATTTCTTTTTATGCAATGCAAACATTATTAATTGGCGATTGAAACACATATAAAAGAACGCATCTAGATTTTCGCAACACAAACGCTAGATGGCGTGTTTCCATATACGCAAAAAATAATAATAAATTGCGTAAAAGAAACGCTGGATAAGTGAAGATAAACACGAGAAAAAATAGAAAGAATCGTGATGCAATTTCGATCCTTGTATTACCTTTTAGTTTTTACGTAGCTGCTTCGATTTAATGCAATATTTGAACTAAGATTAAGAAATACTTTAGATAAATATTACATGCAAAACTCCTTTGCACAATTAGCGAATGAAACATCATTTCCTTTTCAATTATCCAAAAAAAAAAATTGCAAATTTTGCAATGAAAAAAAAATGCAGAGGAGGATGCGATTCATGCATCTTGCAAAATCACCTGTCGTAGGTGAAGATTTCAATGCAATTACAAACGGTTTCGGTTGCAATGATCATCATTTCGCTAATTGCACATTTCAGAGCGTCCATGGAAGCGCGAATTAAGGCAAAACGGCGTAGGTGAAGTTTTTTTTCTATTTTGCAACGATTTTTGTCATTCGGTGGGAAGATGATGATGAATTTGAATTCGCAACTGAAGACTACAACAAAATTAATAGTTTTAGCTATAATTAAGATGTGTTGCTTTATAATAAACAGGAAATTATAAATTTGCAATCTGATTTATACGAGAAGAAAGGAAGCGAAAGTCGTTCGTCAATCAGAATAAATATATATATAATTGAAACGTCATTAATTGCGGCCGAGTGTTTAGAAACTGAGGATATAAACTTAGTCCCGGTAATTGCGTACATTTTAACAATCCAAAGAAAATACACACACACAGCAAAAAAGAGAGAATTTCAAGAAAATCAAAGATATTCCTCAAAATCTTAATAACTAATTGACATTTCGGTTGAGATTATCAAGAAATTTAAAAAGTTAGGTTTTCGATGCTGAAAAACGGGAACGAAAAATGTGAAAATCGAAAGCACACACATTCCGAAGTGAAAGATGATAGCAATAACAAAGATCAAGGAATCCCCGAGCGGTCACGATTATCCGAGGGAATGAAGCAACTCTCAACGCAACGAATGCAACAACACCGCATGAAAATATGTTTAAACAGTCAACGAGAAACTTACAGTTTTCTAACGGACTTAATTGAAAAGATAATTCAAAATTATCAACGAAAGAATTTCGCTTCATTTCTCTACTCACAGCTGTACCAACTTATAAGCAATTAATATTTAGAAACTATTAATTATGATTCATTTCTAAATTCACAGCTGTACCAACTTAAATATAATAACAAAGTTTTCTTACTAAACGTAAGAGTTAGTTGCAGTTGGAATTGCGTCAACAACATCAACAACAACAGCAAAAAAGATGATTGAATTTCTTACCCTCGAGTCCCACGAAGATTTCCTGCCATTCTTGTGCTCCATTTGCGATACGGTCATGTTGATGCAACCATGGAAACAAAATCACGATGCGCAATTGTTCGCGGATTTGGTTCGCGGATTGATTACAGAGTGCGCGCAAAAAAAAATAAATTAATCGTCGTTGCTCTCTTCGCAATTGGAAGCTGCTCGCATTGTCGGATCGTCTCTCTGTCTGTCTCTATTGTTCTTGGACGAGAAGATACGGATATTCTCGCATCATTCGCTCGCAGGATTGATGATAGCAATAATTGTGAGTTTTCTCCAGGTGGAAGCAGCAGCAACAATCTCTTTCGCAGCGTGCAATAACTTTCTCCTTGCGTCTCCTTCTTTCTCGCTCGCTCTTCGGCGGTTTCTGGAAGATAAAGAAGGAATTAATGAGAAGATTTTGAATCGTGCACATGTATAAACACACACACGGCAGACACACACGAGAAATAATCGTCGTCTGCTCGTCTGAGTCCGAGCCAAAGTAAGTGGATCATGGTTCTCTTCTTCGGTTTACCGTTACACCCATTGACCGATTTAACTCCATCATCCTGACCTACACAAAAACAAACGATACACGCAGCAGCAGCGACCGAACGTTGTTTCCTTTCCTCGCATCGACAACCGAGAGACTACTAGATCCATTTAAACGCCTGCAAACACACACCGACAAAACAGCAAAAGAACTGTTGCACGACAACAATTCAACTCGACTATGCCATGAAGATAACATTAATTATTTGCTGCAATCCTATCAACAGTTAACCAATCATCACAATAATATGTAAACTAAATAGTTTAAGGCGAACATTTCAAATTTTAAACTAATTAACTTAATATATCCTCATAGCAACAACAAAACAAAATAATTAAATTAAGTTTTTTTTCACTCTCTAATCTTACTATTGCATTGCGCAACTCTATAATTACAATATTGACATTTAACAAACGAATTTGTGCATTATTATTATAATATAAACATGTGTGATTCAGACGTTGAATCACAAATTTCAAGTTCACTTCGATTCTTATTATTATTATCGTTTCTGCGTTATTTTGTAGTTCGTTTACCTCGAGAATTGAATTTCGCAACAGTTTTTCTCGTTCGCTCCGGGTGAAAGCAAAACTGAATTTTCTGTTCGGTAATCGCGTACGCAGATATTTACGAAATTTTCAATCGATTCGCCATTGATTTCGCGACAGATCTGGAAAGTTGCACTTTCTTAACAAACATTTATTATAAACATAATTTCGAACGATCAAAGTTGACCTTAGTTGCAAAAAACAAAAACAAAACAAAAAAAAGTGAATGCGTTAATAAATGAAATGTCATTATAGAATTGCAAAGTTCCATTTGAAATCTCCAATTCGATTCACTTTTACTAACTCTACACGGAAACTCACCTGAAACTGATCGTAACAATCGCGTTCGTTTCAATTCCGTCGATCATTTCACTTGAATAACGTTAGAAAATACTTAATTTTGTTTATAATTAAGCGGAGCGCATTTGAACAGGTACGCTCGTAATTATGACACGGACACCAACTTAATTTGT